CAAGCTCCTATCTTTCTCCCTTGCCATCACTATCTTTCTGAGACCGGCCTTCATGCCATGTTCTTCCCCCGTCGTAGGGAAGCTACAGCCCTGCTGCACCACTGCTTGGAGGCTGGACGTCGACGTCACCTCGTTGGACCCCTCTATCACCACCGGAGCCACGTCTAGCAGCAGCAGCCAGCCCTAGCCACCTCTAGCTAGCTCCCAGCTAGCCGTAGCTAGGTAGCAGTAGGCCATAGCTAGCCACACCAAGCCACAACTAGCTATAGCTCGCTAGGACGCGCCATTGTAGCCCTTCACCTCCAAGGTCGACCTTTTTACCCTAGCCGACGCCATCCCCGACATCGGCAAATCTCCGCCTTTCATTTTATTCATTTGTTCATACATCATTATATCATCTACCATCTATACTTGTTCATGCATTTGATACATGATCATCCATCAATGTCTATGAATGCCTATGTTGTGCCTTCGCCACCGGTCTATCTCTTGTGCTATGGATATGTGCTACTCCGTCTGTCGTCATTGTTGTTTTGTGGTTCTTTTGTGTGTTGTTGTGGTCGTATGGGGACCGTGCCTTCGAGCCGGTCGAGGGATTGTACTTTGTTCGATCATTTCGGTCATGGGTTCATCTCGCCATAGCCGTAATGCCGAGCATAACTCGTTCCCTAGCTTCTTAGTTGGCTTTGTAGTACTACGATCGCTAGCTCCTATCCACGTCCCTAGGATATGGCCATTGTGGACTTGATGTCGATATCGACGTGGTTCTTACCCGTACATTTCAAGGCCTATGTGACCTAGTCTAGTGGGATACAAATTAGGGGGACAACCTTCATGGAACCGTCGGAAGCCAACCTGTTTAGATGAATCTCATGGCCGCGAGTTGCCTCGCCATGACCATTGGGCTTTACCTCTTTTGCTCGCTTGTTTATCCTAGCCACCTCGTATGCTTATACCACTTTGACCATAGCATTCCTTTGGATCTAGCGGTGACAAACGCATCGCTATGGACCTTAGGGATAGCCTTGTGCCGATTTAGTTGCATGGTCGTGGTGCCCTACGAGTGGGTTTGGATCATGGGATTGTGTCTCCTTTCTTCCAACTTTCATCCGTTCCATGATGAGTTGGTCGAAAGAGTGTGGATTCCATTCTTCTCTCCTCTCTTGTTCTCAATCCTCGTCGATCTAGTAAGATGTGGATTGAGCCCTTCGCTTGTTTGGTGTTTACTGCTCTCTTGATTCCATTCCTTCGATTCCTGTCGTTTGCTACGACGAGTGGATCAAAGGAAGGTGAATCCCGCATCCTCCTTTTTTGGTTATGTCATGCTTAAGCCCTTGTATGCTTGTACCTATTTAGACCATAGCATTTCTTTAGTTCTTTCCGTGACAACTGCAGTGCTAAGAACCCTAGGGATGTCTTAGTGCATCTAGTACACCTAGGTCGTGGTACCCTACAAGTAGTTGGGCATTCGTGTTCTCTTGTGTGTTGCTCCTTTCGATGCCCCGTCTCTCACCATGTCATGTAGATTGGAAGAAGTAGACCACCTCCCTTCTCTTCTCTCTCTCGTTCCACCCTCTCTCCAGTTCTCGTCAATTACAATGGCATACGGATTGAGAGAGATCAGGATTACTTCCTTTTCCCCTTAGCCCGTTCTATTCGATCCTATCCTTAATAATGATGATCGGATTAAAGACCAGGCTATCACTTTTAGTTGGTGAGGTTAGCATCTATGTCATGTTCTCAGAACCATACGAGTTGACCCGATCGACCATTAGAGTGCCATCTCTACCGAGGATGAGACATGGATGTGCCTAGCCGATTTTCTCTCTCGCCCCTTTTTAGCCTGAGGAAAACGAACTCGCTTCGTGAGGGCTAGCCTAGTTTTTTTGTGGTGTTTGCTTAAGTCAAGCTAGGGTCTAGGCCATTATTCGTGAAGCCATATAGGTGGACACGATTGGCCCGGGAAGTACTTGCTAGGTTGTGACTCGAACCTGTACTTAACAGACAACCACTTATGTTTCTCTCTAGCCCAAGGCTCGGACTTCCCCCGCAAGGGCTAAGTCATTTTCCTTTAGTGTTCTTTTGGTGTTTATTTGCTCTTCCTGTGCTTTGTTGCCTCTTTATTTACAGTTTTTCTTAGTTAGTTGTTGATGGCTCCCTTGTTTTGTTTGTCATACGAGCGAGGTAATTGTATCGGGGATGATGATGTTTGTCGACGAAATATGGTCGGCAGTCCACCGAGGGGGGTGCCCGTGGTGGTAGATTATCGGTAGACGGTGCGTGTAATCAGGAACCAGATGGTGACACAAGGCGCAGAGACAACGATTTAGACAGGTTCGGGCCGTCTGGTCGACGTAATACCCTACGCCCTGTGTCTTTGGTGTATTGTATTGAGATGTATACAGATTAACCTGTCCTCTGGGGGACCCTTGTCTCTCCTTATATACTCCGAAGAGACAAGGTTACAAGTAAAGTATCCAATTTGGTACTATCACAATATCTAGTACAACTTGTAATCTTGATGTGCACGCCTTGATCTTACAGGCCGGGCCACCTCAGATGGTGCGGCCCATGTACCATCTTGTGGTACCCGGGGGTATATCCCCCACAATGTTCAAACCGGAATCCATTGGAGGGAGGAGACGCAGACGACAACAGGAATTGGAGGGGAATGGCTATGGTTACATTGAAGATCTTGGAGATAGTCAATCAACAGGTGCCACGTCCCACCCAACCTCATAGAATCCTATTAGGCATGCAATAATGTAACTGCTAGTGCTTTACTTTCATGCAAACGAACAGTGATAGGATGCATGGTAGAATTGCTTGAAGCCAATACCTTGACGCAACCTTTACCCCTGCACACCCGCTGTTAGGCTAGACGCTCGTTTACTACTTACTGCTTACTTCTACTACGCATTACATCTGTGATGTGATGATTGGTGAAGGATTGTTTGTGAGTGGCTAAGGCACATGGTGCTGCTAAAACTAGTGATAATTTGGGGAGATCATGGCGTGTGTCTTGGGTGTGTAGTGAGGGTTGAGTCGACCGGATAGGATTCTACGACGAGTCTTTGGACTAGTCTTGCCAGGTGGATGCGACCTGGGCATTCCCTACGAGATGTACCTTTGGCGGGTACTTGTGTGAGGAGTATATTCCGAGGAGGAGACTCTTCGGAATGGAGGTGTCGTCGAGGCATGGGGTGTTGGTTATCCCCTTTGAGATGATATCCTGTCTGGTTCCCCTAAGGACTGGTATGTCGAGAGAACCGGATCAAAGGACCCTACGTACACACCACTCAGCTCCTGAATGGGTGGGGGACGCTTACCTGACCAACTAGGATGGTGCCATTACTGCTAGGTTGGAAGTGGATAGTATCGGGAGGTACGGACGTATGGCCCACACCCTCCTAAGACAGCGTAGTGACCTCTGAGAACCGGTACTATGTCTCACAGTCTCAGCGTGCCGGTGGACTCCGGGGTGGCCCGGAGCTGAGTGGTAGGGTGTCACCATAACGGTTGGGAGGCAGTCGGTATCAGCCTAGGTAGGGCACCGCCGATGATGGTGATCTTGTGGTTACAGGTGTACACGCTCTGTAGAGTTGATCGATCTATACGTATAGCCGAGTCCTCGGATATGGACATTCCTATGACCTACGCTTCCCTTGATTAGTGAGAGGAGTCATTTCTTCTTCTTCCCCCTAGGTTTGGTGTTGATTTCCGGCTTTGGCCGTTGTTGATTTCCGGCTTTGGCCGTTGAGGCAAGGCACAAGAGGGAGTCGGCCTTGCCGCCTAGAGAGTGAGAGTGTGGTGAGATGTGTGTGATGAGATGGGTGAACGTGTGTGGATGAGATGGGTTAAAACTTGATGAGCTATTATAAAATATTGATGAACTTACATAGGAAAACTACAGCCATGAATAGGTGTTTTGTTCTACCCTTGCATTCCACTTTTCACAAAGCAAACGCAAAGCATAGAGTGAGAGCTAGTGGCCAGTACAAATCGTACTGAAAGATTTTTGGCAGATTTTGGATGTAATCTACGACGACAGTGGAGATTAGGAGGATTAGATGGTCTCGTTCTCACGCTCAAGTTTGGTTGAGGAGATGAAGTCTACGTCCGCTGATGCTCTATGCTTATTCTCATGATTGCCCGTAAAGGAGGAGCCTTCACCCGCTGAGACACTACATCTACTCTGATATTGTTCTGTATGCATCTTCGCTAGTATACGTTGTACTTAGGCGTGTTACCAAGTGTCGTAATACCTTGTAAACTTGTAATTCCGCAATGTATGAACTGTGCTATTAACTGAATAATGATAATGTGATAGCTTGGTCTTCCTGTACTATCACATGATGATGTAATTTGTGGATTTCCCTTCAAGTAAATCGTGGATCGTTTCAACAAGACTAGGAATTTTTCCAGCTAATCAAACCTTGTATAAATTAACTAGCAATTCCTGCGGGAATTTTTTCCGAAGCCATTCCTCGTGGAACGAACGGGCCTGAAAGGAGCTGATACGAAGATAGGAATTTCCAGGAAAGTGTCTTTGAGAGACTATGACTGATGTGAGAATTGAGAAATCTTTTTCATTTCGGTGACGACGGAGCCGCTTGCTGACTGCCACTGACGGGCTCTCTCACCTGACTAGTCTGCGTACGTAAGCAACGACGTCACGCGTTCACCCTCCCGTTGACCAAACACCGATCCACTTCTAGGCTTCTAGCACCTTCTTCTTTCTCTCTTCTCCCCCGAACAGCAGCAGCGCCAGCGCCAGCGCCAACGTCGTCTCTGATCTCTCCTCTCTTCTCTCGCTAGTGTATAAGTAGCAGCTGCCAGCAGGCTGAAGCTGCACACATCCATCCATTTCTAGCTGCCGATCATCCTATCTTGATCCTGCATCATTGTTGGATACTTGGATCTCGCGCGCGCATACAAGGAGCTAGAGCTATAGCTGCTAGTCGTAGCACTCGCGAGAGCAGAGCGGAGCTGAGGAAGCCATGGCTACGCCGGCGGTGAAGTTGTACGGGTGGGCTATCTCGCCGGTCGTTTCGCGCGCGCTGCTGGCCCTGGAGGAGGTCGGCATCGACTACGAGCTCGTCCCCATGAACCGTCAGGCCGGCGACCAGCACCGCCCGGAGCACCTCGCTAGGAACGTACGTACCTCACTCCCTCGATCCACTATGAACTTGATGGTTTCGCATTCACTCCACTCATCGGCCATCGCTGGTTTCGCCGACTGACACACACACACGCTCCATCCTGTGCTTGCTGCAGCCTTTCGGGAAGGTGCCGGTGCTCGAGGACGGCGACCTCACGCTCTTCGGTAAGTTCATCAGCAACTAGCCGTGTCATATCTGCTCCTTCCTTTCAAATTATAATTCACGGTTTTGTCCTAATTTTCCTAAGTCAAAACCTTTCACCTTCATAACTAAGTTTATAAAAGATACGTCAAACACCTACGTGGTCACATTAGTTTTATTAAAACTTTCATTAATACTCCATCTGTTCCAATTATAGGTCGCTTTGACTTTTTGGGTACATAGAATTTGTTATGTATTTAGACATACGTTATATCTAGATGCATAGCAAAATGAATATACCGAAAAGATCAAAAACAACTTATAATTTGGAACGGAGGGAGTATATTTTAATAGTGTATTTATTTTTTGAAAATATAGGAGAAGATATTAAGTCAAAGTGAATTAAAATTTACAACGAGGGTGTAGCATTTTGTTGGGTTCCATAAGATCTAAGCGTGTGACATGTATATTTTCAAAGAATCCCGGGCGATCGCGAGGCATGTCCTGCGGAAGCACAAGCCAGAGCTGCTGGGCTCCGGCAGCCTAGAGCAGGCGGCGATGGTGGACGTGTGGCTGGAGGTGGAGGCCCACCAACTGAGCCCGGCGGCGATCGCCATCGTGGTGGAGTGCATCTTCGCGTCGTTCCTCGGCCGCGAGCGCAACCAGGCGGCTGTCGATGAGAACGTGGAGAAGCTGAAGAAGGTGCTAGAGGTGTATGAGGCGCGGCTGAGCCAGAGTAGGTACCTCGCCGGCGACTTCCTTAGCCTTGCGGACCTTAGCCACTTCACCATCATGCACTACTTCATGGACACCGAGTATGCCACGCTGGTCGGGGCATTACCGCACGTCAGCGCCTGGTGGCAGGGCCTTGCCGCGCGCCCAGCGGCGAAGAAGGTCGCGGAGTTCATGTCGGTCGGCGCGGCCGAGGCGTCCAAGAAACAGGAGTGATGATGAAAAGTGATGTGTGTTGTGCTTAATTACTTTCTCATGTGTACGTGGTACCTCTATAGTTTGTGTCTTTGTCTTTTGCTGCTTCCTCCAATGAGTAATAGTTATTTGAAATTTATTGTATTTCATCACATTTAGCAAAAATATTTCATTGGATTTTCATATCGCTGTGTAACAGATGTCGTCATCGAATTAGACAGATGGCCGCTACTACACACGGCCATTTTTTTTGTCTAGATGTGGTTTTCGCGAGAGCCTCTAACCAACCAACTCTAGAAATAATTTGTCTTTATTTATCTAAAAAATAAGTCACAGGCCAACTACACCTGGAAATCAATTTATAAAGAGTCTTGCCTCATTACTAGAAATTATCTCTTCTCGATCTCTACACTAAAAAGCTTCCACGGGAATCGTCCACTGCAGAACCAAACTCCGGTAAAAAAAAATCTCTGTTAAAAAAAACGGATTGGACCGGGTAAAACGATTGGACTCTAGAAAGAAAATCTATGCCAGAACAAAATCTGGATTGGGTAAAACAATCGGACTCTGGAAAGAAAATCTACGCCAGAACAAAATCCGGATCATACTCTGGGAAGTAAACTCCTAATAAAAAGGATCGGACTCTAGGAATTACTCATCCAGATCGTAATCACTCGATTGAAAAAAAAAAATGCAACCGACAGAAGTTTTTTTTGTTCCTAAAAAGACTTGAGGAAGTTGTTCTTTTGTTTTTTTTTTCTGTTTTTTCCCGAAAAGTTGTTCTTTTGTTGTGTTAGATTGGTTTAATCACGTTTAGCAACGTGCACTAGGCTTCATAAGTTGCTGTCAGTCTGGCCTTGACACTATCGTTTCAGCATAGGCTAAGATAAATCAGTTGCAGATCCTGGTAGTTTTCTAGTTTTTGGATGTTCCTAACTTTACTGTGATAGGAGCTGATATGAATGAAGACAGGAATTTCCAGGAAAGTGTCTCTGCTGACTGATGTCAGAAATCATTTTGCGCCTCGTTTAGGCCTTGTTTAGATTGTCTCAAAATTCCAAGTTTTTTCACTCTCTCTCTATCACATCAATTTTTGGACGCATGTATGGAGCATTAAATGTAGATAAAAAAAATAACTAATTACACAGTTTGGTTGTAAATCATGAGACGAATCTTTTGAGCCTATTTAGACCATGATCGGACAAAGTTTATCAAATACAAACGAAACATGCTACGGTGTCCAGATTACAAAAATTTGCAATCTAAATAAGGCCTTAGATGCCATCCAAATTCCAAGTTTTTTTCACTCTCTCTCCATCACATCAATTTTTAGCCGCTTCTATGGAGTATTAAATGTAGGTAAAAAAATAACTAATTACACAGTTTAGTTGAAAATCACGAGATGAATCTTTTGAGCCTAGTTGGTCCACAATTGAACAATATTTACCAAATAAGATGAAAGTGGTACTATTTGGATTCTTTTTTTTGCAAAGTGAACGAGGCCTTGATTTGGGCGACGAAGCCGTTTGCCTTCCACTGCCAGTGACGGGCTCGCACCTGACTAGTCTGCGGCTCTGCGTACGTAAGCGATGACGTCACGCGTTCACCCTTCCCGTCGAGCAAATACGACTTCACTTCTTCCAAACCTTCTTCTTCCTCTCCCCCAAGCAACAGCGCCAGAGCCAGCGTCATCTCTGATCTCTCATCAAGTCTCCCGCTCCTGTATAAGTATCAAGTAGCAGCCTGCAGCAGGCAGCAGAAGCTGCACACATCCATCCATCCATTTCTAGCTGCAGATCTTTGATATGTCCTGCATCTTCGGATCTTGCGCGTAGATTACACAAGGAACTAAGGAAGCACTCGCTGAGCTAGGAAGCCATGGCTACGCCGGCGGTGAAGGTGTACGGGTGGGCTTTCTCGCCGTTCGTGTCGCGGGCTCTGCTGGCCCTCGAGGAGGCCGGCGTCGACTACGAGCTCGTCCCCATGAGCCGCCAGGCCGGCGACCACCGCCGCCCGGAGCACCTCGCCAGGAACGTACGTACCTCGCTCCCTCGATCGACCCACCATGAGTTTGTTGGTTTCACTTTCACTCCGCTCATCGGCCATCGCTCGCTTCGCCGACTGGCACGCCGCTCCTGTGCTTAATTGCTGCAGCCTTTCGGGAAGGTGCCGGTGCTTGAGGACGGCGACCTCACCATCTTCGGTAAGTTCTTCATCATCCATCGGCGCGTTATATCTACTCCTTATTCTTTCCAAATTGTACTCCCTCGGTCAAAAAAAATCTCTTTAAATTGATTTATTATAAAAATATTTTTCATGATTAATCTAGTAATATTTATATAATAAATATTAATTATTAATATATTTAGTGAAATTTAAGATTATTTAACTCTTTTTTCAAGATTATTTAAATCTTTAAGATGTGTGATTTACATTTTTTTAGACGGATGGTGTAATTCACGGTTTTATCCTAAGTCAATTTTTTCAACTTTAAGTAAGCTTATTTAAAAAAAAATATGCCAACACCTGCATGGTCACAATAATTTTATTAATTTTTCATCAATATTTTAATAATACACTTATTTTTGAACCTATAGGAGCAGATGTTAAATTAAAAATGAGCTACATTTTAAAATGGAAGGGTTAATATTTTGCTTTGATTCTACGAGTTCTAAAACGTGTGATATGTATTATTTTTCAGAATCCCGTGCGATCGCGAGGCACGTTCTGCGCAAGCACAAGCCGGAGCTCTTGGGCACCGGCAGCCTGGAGCAGGCGGCGATGGTGGACGTGTGGCTGGAGGTGGAGGCCCACCAGCTGCACCCGGCAGCGATCGCCATCGTGGTGTACTGCATCTTCGCGTCGTACCTTGGCCGCGAACGCAACCAAGCTGTCGTCGACGAGAACGTGGAGAAGCTGAAGAAGGTGTTGGAGGTATACGAGGCGCGGCTAAGCCAGAGCAAGTACCTTGCCGGCGATTTCCTTAGCCTCGCCGACCTCAGCCACTTCACCATCATGCACTACTTCATGGCTACCGAGTATGCCACGCTGGTCGAGGCATTGCCGCACGTCAACGCCTGGTGGGAGGGCCTTGCCGCGCGCCCAGCGGCGAAGAAGGTCGCGGAGTTCATGCCGGTCGACGCGCCCGGGTCACCCAAGAAACAGGAGTGATGATGAAAAGTGATGTGTGTTGTGCTTAATTACTTTCCCATGTGTACGTGGTCCCGCTATAGTTTGTGTATTTGTCTTTTGCTGCTTCCTAAACAGAATAATAGTTATTTGGAAATTTAATGTATTTCATCACATTTAGCAAAAATATTTCATTGGAATTTCATATCGCTGTGTAACAGATGTCGTCATCGAATTAGACAGATGGCCGCTTCTACACACGGTCATTTTTTTTGTCTAGATGTGGTTTTCGCGATAGCCTCTAACCAACCAACTCAAGAAAATCATCTGTCTTTATTTATATAAAAAATAAGTCACCTGCCGACCACTACTGGATTCAGGTTCTTTGCCGAGTGCCACTACTACAAAAAGCATTTCTAGGGGTGGCTGGTAACCCTTTGTAGGGGCGGTTTGCCCAGCCTCCCCTATACAAGGGTCTCTACAAATCATGCATTTGTAGGGGCGGTTCCCAGGCCGCCCCTACAAATCGATTTGTAGGGGCGGCTGGTGTTTCTAGCCGCCCCTACAAACAGGTATTTGTAGGGGCGGTTCAATCTAGAACCGCCCCTACAGTACGTTTTTCAGCCAAAAAAAATTCAAAATTACAATTCAAAATCGCGTTGCTGAATGTCCCACGACCAACGTTCCGAACCGCGTTCGCATTGCCGAACGCCCCGCGACAAACATTCCGAACTGCGTTCGCGTTACCGAACGCCCCACGACCAACGTTCCGAACCGCGTTCGCGTTGCCGAACGCCCCGCTACCGCGACTACAAGCACAAAAATATTCTATAAACTACAATTACAAGTCCAATTCACAAGAATATATATAATCCATCATTAAATATACAAATTATATACACATTGTTATCAACGTCCTAGAGCTAGCCTTTCAGTCTCACGAAGGTGTTGGTACTGAGGATTTGTACCTAACTCAGACTCTCGGTCATGGTAGGCGCCTCTGACATGTATAATCTGGTCCAATATGAGGTTGCAAAGGTCGCCGACGAGCTCTAAGAGTTGGTCATCCTTGTATGGGTCTCTTTTCATTCCTTTCTCTTCTCTCCACTACAAGAGAACAAGTTTCGGTTTAGTATTTCATACCATGTACGAAGTTTTTATACTGCGGGTGAAGAGGTTCAAACTTACCCTTAAGGGGCGTCTCCTGTATGCACCGGTGTTACTCATCATAGAACATATATAGTATCCACAATGTACACTCCCAGGTCTCTGCTTGGGGCACTGTGTGTTTTGCATATAAAAATGTTAAGTAATGCTTTTGATAGCCATGTAACGGAGTACTGAAGAAGTAAGTTACACTTACCGCACATAGTGTTTTTATAGCCAGCTTTTCCTTTCTTGCTGGATCATGCCTTCCATGATGATTAGTGACATAGAACCTAAATGCCATGTTCGAATTATTTTAGTAAATACAACTTGTTAGTATCCAAAAGTGAACGTTACAAGTATGTATACAAACATATAAGCTAATGAGGATTGTCGATATGTATATGTCTTGAGAATCGATATGAAGTCTTTGTATGTCACCGTGTCCTTATCTAATGAATCAAAGACCGATGCCATGCTCCTCCCGACATCGACGGCTATACAAATCCAGTGGTTGCTTCATGGATTTAATCATAGAATTAGATAAGCTCTTTTGCATCGAATAAAATATATTGAACAAAGCTTTAAGTATAAAGTTGAGCTTACTCGAAGTTGTATGGTAGCCATATAGTAGAGTGTTGTTGGAGTTTTTTGAAAGCTAGGGCAATATATGCCGCAACCTTAAGGGACTCTTCCCTTAGTTTCGACGTACGGATGTGCTCTTTCTCCCGAAGAATCTTTGCAGC